CCTACATTCCTCTTGATGTTGTTATTACAAAATCTGGTCCAAGCTGGCGCGCGATGAATGATTCGACAGTCCTTTAACACGTTCTGTGTTATAGTTTGGCCGGTAATAGTCATATAAATAGTGACATGATTTTAACTCAAAGTGATTGGCTTTACCAATGATTTGCGAAATTAAAACCATCTTATGATCAACTTTAGCTATAAATATGAAAATAAGAAAACTGTTTCTCGAAAGTGTTCTGATCAACTTCATAACAAGCAAGTAGATTGATGACACGGGCAATTTTTATGTCCACCTATAAGATGAGCAGAAATAATGAATTCTAATGAATTTATGTACAATGCGTGTATGATACATGCATAATCAGAGTGATGATAGCAGCCGGGGCAGTAGCCATGGCCTCGTGAGCTCTATTACAGAGCTCGGCCATGGCCCCAGGAGCTCTATAGTAGAGTTCAGCATTAGCAACGGCCAGGGCCATGCGAGCTTTGCTACAAAGCTCGGCCATGGCTGTCACGCCCCGAACCCCATCGAGCTCGCGACATCCCGCTCCTTGGTCGAATTATTGCAACGTCCCAGGAACATCGCCGACCCAACCCAAACATCAGAAACACATGCGGAAGCGAATACAAAACCCCTGACTAAAAAGACAACGACGGGGTAGACTAACCAGACAGTCAAATAACAACAACATTCATTTATATACAATACCATTGCATCGAGCATACATATATCGCATTACAAACAGACTTAGCAAACGAGCATTCGAAACTACCGACATAACAAAAGGACCAGGTGGTCTGGTTAACTTAACTTCATTATAGGTCGACCTAACTATCAAAAGATGACTGGTCAGACTGAATCTACGCAACCCCTAAAATACCCTAGGGAAACCTAACGGTCGTCCTCTTCCATTCTGCTTCAGCGTCCTCTAGCTCGAGCCCCCGGAAGATCACCTAGACCACGATATGAGGGAATCGCCTGCAGCTCGACTGGAGCACCATGGTCAGCTTTTCATACTCCAAAAACGGGGAGGCGGGCCTCCTGGGTTTAAGGCTGGGGGTCTGAAAGTGGTGGTTATACAACCATGAGACGAATCTCAATAAGTGCACAACCCCAAACCCCACATAGGCTCTCACGTACTGCCAGACGAAACACACATAACACACATTTAACGACCAATCATGCTAACAAACACATACGATCCTACCTGGAATCCATCACGCACGTCCCTGCACGTTAGATAACAATACAGCCAACATGCCACAGTAATGTATTACAACCGCGCGCGTACCTCGGTTATAAGGAAAAACCCACTTAGGCATGTCCCATACCATGCCTAGCAGTTTTTACTCCATAATCGAGCACCACAATACGCGATACCAACCACACTCGCACACGAACTCACGCCATGCGTCCACTTCCACAATCCTCACACGTCGAACCAATTTCAACTCATTCTCAACTTTTCCACCACTACCGCGCCCGCGTAAAACGCATCAGGCCAACGGTCTTCTGACCTCGTCAGGCATCGTCACCCCGTCGGGCCGGGCATCGTCACCTAGTCAGGGACGGCATCGTCCCGCGTAAACGAACACGCCTCAGGACGGAATCCTACACCTCAACTTTCCTTCTCTACCGCGTCCGCGTAAAACGCATCAGGTTAACGGTCTTCTGACCTCGTCAGGCATCGTCACCCCGTCGGGCCGGGCATCGTCACCTCGCGTAAACGAACACGCCTCAGGGTACCACTTTTCCAACCATTCCAATCATCTCGTATCATCATACCACACGAGCCACGTGGCCACACATATCACACCGCCACACAATCACATGCCCCACATACATTTCACCATCACACAATCACACCACACGGTCACACATACCCGAACATTAATTCAATGCACCCAATTCAACCATTTCAATTCAGCCCCTAGAACATGCAGATACACATTCAGGCATCAATTCCCGTCACGAGGGCAGCAACTATTCAACCTCGACATCCCCACCATTCCGCTCATAAAAATGAACATCCATAGAATCATGGTAAATCTGGACAGTTTACACAATGACCGAAATCCCATCAAAATAAATAGTAAACAAACTCCAAAAATTCTAAATTTTGGATATATCATAAAAAACATCTTGATAAACATTTCTTATGAAGAACACAAAATCCGGTTCAATCTGTAACAATGCCTTTTTGTTCCTCAAAATCAGACCAAAATCAGTTCGCTCTAACAGACTGTTTTGTCCTCAAAATACATTTATTTCAACACCCAAATCACCTTGAAAAGCTTTGAAATTTTTATATGTTATAGAAAAGAAAGTCATCAACAACTTTTGTGAAGGAAGTTTATTGAAAATAAATCTGGAAAATTTTATAAAAATTCGGCAAGACAAGAAGGTCGGGATGAACAGTGTTCCGGCAGTTTTAAGACGGTCTGAAAATGGGTTTTCGTGCGACCCAAATGGCCTCCAAAAATTCCAAATTTAAAATATGTTATACTTCAAGATGTTGGGAGAAACTTTTATGAAGAAAACTTCCTCAAATTCGGCCCCCAAAATTCTCCACAAAAATAGCAAACCGGACGGGTACAGTAGTCACGAATCCGAGAATCACACCAAATCTCAGGGATTCAAACCGTAATCGTTCCATATCATCACGGCCCTATCCGAACCTCCCAAACCTCATATTTCCACCCCTCAATTTAGTCCACGACTACCGAACATCCAGCCTCACTCCAAGTCACAAAACAACCACACAAATCACCTAAACCGAGCCCTAAACACGTCCTACAATACCCGAGGTCCTAGGGAGAGTTTGGGGAAATCACTTAATTTGAAAAGGCGGACAAACGGGTTGGAACAGCCGGCCCCCCAGCAGCAGCAGCAGCAGCGTCACCGGCCTAGCTGGGTTCACGCACGGGAAGGGAGGGAGAGAGAGAAAGCCGATCGGTGGGGGTGGGTGAGGAGAGAGAGAGCGTGGGTGAAAATGAGAGAGGAAGAGAGAGAAAAAGAAATTTAAATAGTGCCCCCCAATAATTGCACTCCGGAAATTACCAAAATACCCCTCCAACTATCCTCCGATCCAATGGTCAAGATTTGATCTCATCCACATCCGGCGGCCCACGATTGATCTTATCCAATAATGCAAGGGGCAAAAGAGTAATTACTCAAAAAGGGAGAGGGGCATTCTTGTCCTCTTATTTTCGGCCACACAGGGTATTTCTCAGTTCTCCGACTTAATCCAGTCCTCAAAATTTGTTCACGGTCCTAGGGACAAAATGGTCATTTTTCCGATCCTGGACCGAAATCCATTTTTTTGCAGAAATGGGTGGCCCCAAGGTTGGCCAAGCCAAAAACGCCATCGGCCGCTAAAAATTGTCACTTTCAAAATTCTCAATTCCCGGGCCCGAATTCCAAGAAATGACTAGAATCGAACAATCGCGACTTTAGCTTATCTATTGCTAACGGGTGGCTCATTGGAATTACGCGCTCTCGACCCGTGACCGACACTAAGTCAAATCACGTTTAAGTTTGCTCGAACCAAGGTGACCTCGATTGTCATGTAATTGCGAGGGTCTGTCGCTAGTTCTCTATGGACACGATCAATCAGATAGATCGGCCTCTGTTGGCTCAAAACATTCCCTCGACAATTCTTATGGTCGAAGCTCGAACCAAGGTCGAGTTCTTTGGTCGTGCGGACTCAATCCCATGCTGGCCTTACCCCTAAGGTTAGCATCCCGAGAATGTGCGGTTCCGGATGAGATCTTACTATAAGTGCATTGGCCAAAATATTCATTCTATAAATCCCGGGAAAAGGATCGAGAATTCAGAATGTTACAATGGCAGCTTTGGAAAAGAAGAAACAAGGAACAAGGAGAGAGTCTTAACCGACCAAATGATAAAAAGGAAAAGAGAGAAAGACAGTGTGGGTGGGGCTTGCTCATCAAAAAATAAGGATAGAGTGAGAGTTTAGCAAAAAAAAAAAAAAAAGGAGAGAGTGAGGGTGAGTACAAAATTATATTGTGTGACTGAGTATACATAATAAAATCACCAATAGATGACCGCCACCTAGTGTATAGCAACTAATTATTGCTCGTACCTAAATATGGAGAAGAAAATTCATGACTTTACAATTAGGGTTAGCGCAATTGATATGGGCATTAATGGATTTCTAGATAAAAAACGTTTGAGCTCATTTATTCGAATCCTATTAATTATGTGCAAACTACTCTAGCTCACGCCATCCTGCTCAGGATAATTGATTGTACTTAACTATTTATGAGGCTTACATGGTGTTTCACGAGCCTTCAAATAGCCAGGTTTGCACCCTTGTGCCTTGGGATAATAAAAAAAGATAAAAGGAAAAAAAAATTCATGGCCCAAGAATTCAGTGGACATGCATCTGTGTCGTTGTTGCCTCAAGAATAAATTCCTAGAACAGTGCATAGGTGTATTCTCCGTAAAATACGTAGGAGTGAGCTCAAGAATAGAAACATGCGCAATCAATTTGGTACTACTGGGAGGCAAGATAACATTCGAACATGATCTTGTACAGCTCTGTTTCTTTCCAAATCTATTAAACTAATTGATGACTAAATAAAAATAGAAGGGACAGAAATTTAAAACAAAAAGAAAAAGATTTACAGGTGTCAATGATAAGTCCAGGTGTCAGTTTCTAATAAGCCCAAAATAAATCCTACCAATGAGCACCAATTCGATTTAACACCTGCCTGAAAATGTAGTCTGGAGTCGGCCCAAGAATTTAGTCAGACATGTGATAAGAAGTCAGGAACATCAACATCTGCTTAACCAGATTACATGAAATCGATCTGCATTCGCGCAGAAGAGAGGACGGATGAAAGGGAAAAACGAAAAGAAAGAAAGTCAATGACTGACTACACCATATCTAGTACGATGCAATGCATAATTTCAGAAGAACATAAGATTTGGAAACAAGTAGTTTCATATGCAATAGCAATATGCCACCATCTCTATTCGATTTTTATGTTCCAAATCTTAATGGTGTTGAACTTGTCCGTCTTGTGAGAAAGGAGGAGCCACACGTGAGTGATGATTTCTCCGCCCTGCCTCAGCAGCTCCATGTGGTGGTATTGCTGGCAATTGTATGCCGCAAAACATAGCATCTCAACCCAAATGCTACTGATGATCTCCCATCTGTTCTCAGTATCTTTCAGCTCTCTCGCGAGTCTTCGCGCTTCCTCAACAACATTCCACCCTCTGGTGATTACTGGTTCAAGGCTCCCCTCTGGGGGACGTTCTTGCACATACTCTGTTCCCGATAGAATTTCCAGGATGCTCTCTCTGTCGGGCCGCTCTTCTGGGATTTTCTTCAAGAATGTCTCAAACTTAGAGTAGGCGTCATTGCGAGTGATCTTGGCTGTGGTCAAGGAGAGTATGTGAGGATGTCGGACCAAAAGGAACATCATGTAATCTGATATCAGTTTGCTTGCCTTGCTACGGTCTGAAATTTCGTGGCAAGATTCGTTGCAGATATGGGTCGCAATGTGCCATATGATGATGCTTCTGTCAAATGCCATCTCGATACTCCATTGGAGCTTATCCAGAGACTCCTGAGCCTCGAGCGTCCATTGGCCTCTTTTCGTGAAGGGTCGACTGTCTCTCTTTGTTTCAAACTTTTCCATGTCTTCAAGCAATAATTTTTTAAAATAGTTGGGAATTTTTTTAGATTGTGTTGCCCGATATCTCATTAACTTCTCGGCCTTGCCACAGAATTTGAGGATTTTGAAGAGCCAGGGCCGTTTTTCGTGTTGGAAGAAATCCAGAAAATTAACTTGACGAATTGTGTGAGACCACCTTTTCTTCTTCAGAGATCGTTTGACAAGAAATTTCAGAAACTTCGAGACCTTTCTATGGTGCTTAATATTCATTATAATCACCCAATCCGAATCGAATAGCTTCAACAACTGATAAGTTTCCAGAAGCACGACTCCAATCAGCAGGCCAAACGTGTAACTAACGTACGGACCTCTCCAGTGTTCATCAAAGAAAAGCCCCAGGAATCCGCCTGAGGTCAACAGCAAACAAAAATAACTGATGACTCGGAGCGTGATCCCGGTCTTGGTATAAAGAACTGGTGCTTTAGTGTAGAGGACATCATACATGAACCCGAGTTCCATATCGGTCGTCAAGAATACTTCTTCAGGACTGTAATTTTGGATCAACTTATTACGATGGTCCATGAAGAAAGGGTGCTTCAGCCAGTCCACAAGGTGAGGCTTTAAACAATCAAACCGGTAGTAAGCCTTCAAGAAAATCTTCAAACCGGGAAAGTCTTGGTGGGAGCTCGTCAATGCAGAATACGACTCCTTTTCTTCCTTGAAATCCTCTTCTCTCATGCTCGTGTTCTCGTCGTACACAGAAAAGAGTGCCCAAATTGTTTCTCCGTACTTGATTGTCCCAGCAGCAAACAAGGGAAAGTATAGTATCATCGGGATGGAGGTCTTCCAATTTCGCCCAAGGATCCAGGCTACGAAAGAAAACGTGATGATGAGGTTCAACACACGCCTCACGCCGAGCCGGTTGTCTTCCACTGAATATGCGGTAATGCTATCTGGATTCCCCAGCAGCAGTAGAATCAAAGGCGCCAACAATGCTTTTAGTTCGGCATCACACTCTTCCTCGGACTTGTTGAGTCTGACTGTCGTGAGCTTGCTGAGCGCAAGCGTCGCTAAATAAGAGGTGAGCAAATAAGATGCCCAAATAACAAATGTGATTGTCTGGCCACTTGCGGTCTTCCTGCGGCTTCCTAATACAGCAAGCACCATCTGGAAAATCAAGCCGAGTAGTACCAAAAGTTGAATGCTCCAGTTGTCCCAGAGACACGTCATCTCCGACGCCCACCATTCATGAGGGCATCCCGGAGGCACCATAGAACAGTACGTTATCTTGTGCCCTCCAGGCGTGGTTGTTTTGAATATCATTATCACAAATCTTTACGAAAAGAAGTTGGTTAGAGATCCTCTTGCCCCGAATTAGACTTTAAGATCCTTCTTGAAGCTGACAAAAGATGATGCCATAGTGAACAATTTTGCTCAGTAGCTGTAAGATACACAGGAACGTGCCAATTGCCATCAGTGAACCGATACTTGGTGTCACTTTCATCGACACCAGGTAATTTTACTATGATATGACCCTGTTGCATATGTATACTTTCGCTTTGCACCTCACCCCGTACACGTTTCTACACATGTTATTCGTTTAAAAAGGATTCTTAGACATTCACAAACTTGATGGAGTAACGCCGGATCAGTAACAACAGTGCCATTAACCGATAACATCACCACTAACTGATCTTGGCGATTTATCATTTCTTGAAAAATTTATTTTTTTCTTGATTTTTCATTAATGAAATTGTTTGAAATAAGTTGTTTTCTTAGTTTTTACCTGGACGATTAGTTTTTTCTTCTCGTTTAGCCCTAGGATTAAGGTTCCCAGTCCGGCTATGAAATAGATCGATGCCAACTCCTCTTTCTTATTAATATCCTTCTTTGGCAAAATACCCGAATCAAGGATAAAAAGATTATAGGAACCTTAGGCGCGGCCTTGGATATGTACAATTCGAGGTGCAACTATAATAAAAGCTTATCTATCATACAAATTTCAATTCTAGAAAAGTTTGATTGAGATAATTGAATGTATTACGATTCTCATTAGGTTGAAGGCGCAGGTCCATCACTAGTATAAACTATTCAACTTTTCAATGTAAGATTGCTGTCTACATAAAAAGTAACAAGATTTACTGATGATAATGTAATTTACATTCTCTTCGGTGAGGGAATAATTGCAAATTAATACCTACAGGTTGCTTGTGAAAATTGTTTAAGTTCTCCTAGAGCACAACATCCCATTAACTTGAGTTAAAAATTACTGGCCAAGTATTACGATTTTCTTTATTTTTCAATTAAGAAAGAACCTCTACACAAGGTGATTAACTAGGATGGATTGATAGAGATCTTTAACTGCTTCGAGAGGACCATGTCACGCAATACTTCTAAAAATAGCAACAAAGCAATCTGGGCGAGAATGAATCTCATGAAGTTGTTGCGATGGGGTCAAGAAAAAAAGGGAATTTTTACAAAAGTTCCAAACTTGTGAAGAAAAATAGGCCTTGCTTTCATTATGGAAAGATGAGGGCACTATATCAAGGAATGTACGTACATTAATGCTACGAAAAATGGTGCATTTTAGTTCTGAAAATAGCAACAAAGCAATCTGGGTGAGAATGAATCTCATGAACTTATTGCAATGGGGTCAGAAATGGAGATAGATATGATCACTGAACTGCATATGGCTGCTCTGATCAAGTCTATGGATTGGTGGCTATATTCTGGGGCAACCATTCATGTGTGCAACAGCAAAGCACAATTGAAGACATATGCAGAGTTGGAGGAACCGGAGGAAGTGCTTATGGGAAATCATCTTGATGCCAAGTACTTGGAAAAGGAAGCACGGAATTGAAATTCACTTTTGGGCAGAAACTCACCCTGCAAAATGTATTTCATGTCCTGATCTTAGGAAGATTTTTGTATCTGCAAACCAGCTTAGTGAGAAGGGCATTAAGATTGTTCTTGTAAAATATGGGTTCTGAAAAAAAAAAAAAAAAAAAAAAAAAAAAAAAGGTCAACAAGTCAACAAGTCAACAGAAGCTACAGTGGACTCTCGACCAAATTAAAAAGGAGGCCGAGAGCTCCTTGGCTGAGAAAAACAGAAACGGAAAAGAAGAGAAAGGAGAGGAAAGGGAAGAAGAAGAAGAAAAAGAGGAGAGGAGAGGGTTTTGCGCCGCGCGGACCTCGCCTAGCCGATTCGACTTCGAATCGCAACGCTCGGTAAGTACTCGCGCCCCTCGTTCGTTTGATTGGAGAAGTTTTCCGATTTAGGGTTTAAATTCGGAATTTTGGGAAATTCGAGCGGCGAAGTCTGATTTTTGAGTCGTTCAGCTGCGTATTTTTATAGAATTGGTAGTTTACAGTGTTGCGGAGCTGTGGGATTTTACGGAGCCTGATTTGGACTTACGATTTGCTGGATATGAATTTTTGAAGTTGAGTGCGCGCAGTGAACAGTACGCGAACAGTGGTTTTTAGGCCGATTTTCGTCGGTTTTCGGCTCGATTTTGGGGCTGCCAAGTTGGGGTTCCTGTAGTGCTCCGAACAAGCTTTCTTTTGACTATAAACTTGCTTGGATTGGAGTTTACTGGAGAAAGTTATGGCGCAATCAAGTTTTGCGCTTAGGCGTTGTATTGTGGGCGATTTTGGATAATCGCGTTAGACGAGCGTTTTGAGGGCGTCTTTTAGTCGTTATATTAGCATCTAAGCCTAGTTGAGCCGAGTCGTAGTTGAAGTAACATTTTACTCGGTTTTGATACCGTTTTTCGACTTATTGTTAGGTATTCAAGTGTGTCGGCTTGAGAAATCGCTGTAGGTTAGTTTTTCAGCTTTTCAAGGTGAGTGGTACTATTTCTTCTTTGAATTTGTAAACTCATATTTATAAAAAGTTATGTATTAGACATGTTACCATATAAGAAATGGCATTTTGATTGCATAAAATTGGATCGAGCATTTACTGCCATTTTGTGTATTTAAAATGAAAGATTATCTTTTGATTTCGATTTGAATTTACTGAATGCAAATAGGTTTGCGAAACCTTTTGAGAAAGACTCATGAGGAGTTCTTGCATTTGAATGTGGCTTATGAAGGGTTTTATTTTGGTTTATGAAATGGTTTATGAAATGATTTCTGGAATGGGTTTTGTAGATTGGTAGATGATATTGTTGTGGATTTTGATGCTCAGTGTCTCTGTGAACCCAAATGAGGGGTTGTGGGTATGCGCATACTAGTCTAGGATATCCTTGTGGGCCGAGCCACCGGCTTATAGTAGGTGGAGACCTTGCCAAGGGGGGAATCTTGGTCGCCTTTCACGGGGCGTTATCCGTGATCATACTTAGATTTCTGAGCATGAGATTGGCCGATGGAATAGACCATTGGCGTGTGCTTTTCGACGAGATTGGCCAATGGAATTGACCATTGGTTTCTTCTTTGATATTATTAATTGGAATGAGCTTTCCTATTGTGAAAATGTGATGTTTAAGTAGTATATAACGTATTTTGAACCTGGAGTTGGTTATATGTTGGGTTATTTGAGTTTTCGTTTGGTCTTACAACTGTGTGCATAGTAGGTGCTCGATCTACCTAGAAGAAATGTATTACTCACTGAGCCGTGGTAGCTCATTCCTCTCATTTAACTTGTTTTTCAGGTTCTTCACCGAGACGCTAGTAGGCGTGAGAGTTCCGGTGTCGGGGAGAACATTTTGATAGTTGGGACTTTTTGGTACGAGTTACACATGGATGTGGAGCTTAATGTACTTAGCTTTTTGGTGGATTGTAGTTAACTCTGATATTGTAACCAAATAAACTTTATATCATGTATATATGTGGTTGCATATATTTTGATATCATGTGAGTTTTGGTTATGTTTAGGCTGCGTCCTTTTGTTAAAGGATGGCCGTGTCATGCCCTTATTCTTGTTGAGTTTGGGGTGTGACAGTTCTAGAGTTTGATAAGGTGGTGAACACCAAGAATGTGTTTTTCTTGGCAAGGGATACTCTTGCGATGGCATGTTCAAGATGAGTATTATTGAGCATTCTTCTGCTTTATGGCATGCTAGATGAGGATATTTAATAATCGTGATGACATAAGTTGTGAGCAAACAATTTTAAAATTTCGTTTAAATAATGTTAACTTTTCAGACAAACATATCTACTGGAAGTGAACTATTCTGTCCAGTCTAAAGGTTGTGTCAGTTCATGAGATGTTTCGTTGTTCTTGTATAAACATATTTACATATTCAAAAAAATATACTCCAATTCCATGTATTTGTGTCGAGAGAGTTTGTGAGGTTAAATTGTATCCTTGGGGCATTATTGCCTTAGGAAGTAATTTCACCCGCTCTTAGTCGAACAATTCTGTTTTATATACTACTTTTCTTTCACGGCTCACCCTCAATTCATGTACTCTTCTGCACTAACAAATCTCAAGCCGTGCCTCCAACGACACCAACTGTTACAAACACGCCTTTCGCTCATGGTCTCCTCAAATTCACGACATCTGACCAATGGCGGAAGAGCACAAAAAGCTATGCATATCATTGTTTTTTCACTTGAGGAATGTTATTGACCCTATATACCATATTAATTGATGAATGGGTGGAGAATTTTTGTTTCATCAGTTGCGTACACTATAAGAGTCCCGCATCTGTTAATTGGGAGGAGTGAGCACAAAGAATTGGTCTTAACCCTCTTTCTCTTATGTATATTGAGTTTCGCACGCAAATGACAAAACATGAATACAAGGGCAATGATAAAAGACAGAAAAGTAGGAGTCAGCCGTATAATAAGAAAGATTCCGGCATAATGCTAAATAGAGATAGCCATAAACTTGCGTATAATTTGTTTGTAATAGTAGATAAATCACTGAATCAATGTGATGGATGTTGGCGTGAATAAATCATGCAAAATAATTTCAATAATCGAACTCACTTTTAAGTTGAGCTAGCTAGAGCACTGACCTTTCAGTCAAGTGATGCCGTACCCATATGGAACAAAAGTATTCTAAGGAATTCCGAGATCAAAAGCTGTTAAGAAATCTAGAAAATGAAGCTCGTTCAAATGTCTGCATGAATGAAGGCTTTGCTTTCATTTCCAGAGAGCAATGACAACACTTCCACGTAAAACATTCCTTTATAGCATATGATTGCTTAAAGTGTTCATGAATTTGTGCATGAGAACAAAAAGGAACAAAGAATAAAGAATTGATTACTTACTTGTGGCTTTCCCATTTCAACATTATTGTACAAGCTCATCCGGCTTTCACCCTTTATGTAGCTTTAGCGATTATTGAAGTAACCTCTTGTCTTTTCGCTTTACTCTAACAATAGTTTCGGCAGACACGTGAAACGACTGAAATAGTCACTTTCAAGCTTAAGCTTGAACGGATCATCAAAGCTGGTGGTCCATCTTCAAGCTTCTGATTGCTTTGTATTTATTATCCATTTCCACCTCAAGCTTTAGACGATTAGTAATGGTCCGACAACGATCCCAAGCAGGAATAGAGCATGTTGCTGCTCGATCAATTTCATATAGATAGAATTTTCATGAGCTTTTGTTTAGACAAACCCATTTATCGGCAGGAAATGACCCAAATTGTCACCTACTTTCTTCTTTGTCAATGTTGTTATTAATCGCCAGACACACGATGTAAGATGGATAATTTCTTCGGATTATTACTTTCAATTAATAGTGGCATACTTTCCTGTCGATAGTATCATCATTAAATCTAGTCCAAGCTGGCATGTGATGAGCGATTCGACATTCTTTTAACGTTCGTGGTTTGACCCCCGGTAAAATGAAAGTAAAACCATCTTATGATAAGCTTTAGCTATGAATATGAAATGTGAAAATTGTTTCTCGAAAGTATTCCAAAAAACCTAATGGCAGGCAAGGAGATTGACAGCATGGATTGGCAATTTTGATGTCCGCTTCTAAGACGAGTAGAAATAAATCCTAATGAATTAGCTACAATGGCCGGTATGATACAATGCATATTAGAATGATCATGGTAGCCGTGGCAGTCGCCATGGGCCCGGGGAGTTCCATAGTAGAGCTCAGCATTAGTGGCCAGGGTGACGGGAGCTCTATGCTACAAAGCTCGGCCATGGCAACACTGGAGAAGAAGAAATAGAGAAAGCATTAAGAAAATCTTAAGACGAAGATGAAGGAACATGGAGAGAGAGAGAGAGAGAGAGAGAGAGAGAGAGAGAGAGAGAGAGAGAGAGAGAGAGAGAGAGAGAGAGAGAGAGAGAGAGAGTTTTAACCGGCAAGATAAAAAGGAAAAGAGAGGGAGACTTTTCGGTTTTCACGTTGAGAGAGAGAGAGTGGGTGTGCGTGGTGGAGCTAGCTCATTGAATAAGAAGAAGTGTGTGACATTCCGCAATTTCGCTCACTTGGGATTTATGAAATGAATTATTTTATTAATGTACTCGTAGTTAGTTTTCACCCGGAACTGATCATTCCTGGGATACTAACCGTTAGGGAAAGGCTAGTGAGGGATCTAAATTCGTACGACCAAAGAAAATTTGATCGTGAATTGACTTTCGACCATGAAATCGTCGAGGTGATATTTTGAACCACTGTTGGCCGATCCAAGGATAGCTAGGGGTCAGTTCGCCACTGTCATAGTAATGGATCGCGGGTGATTCCGCCGGATCACGAAATGACTTGATGAATTATCCTGAACCTATACCGAACGATTGTACCCCTCGGATCTAGTAATTGATCCTCGCAATTTTAATGACAACCGAAGTCGTTATGGTCTGAATAAATTGCACGTGACTCGATTTAGTATCAGTCACGGGTCGTACAGGCGAAATTCCCAAAAGCCACCCGTTAGTCTGAGAAACGCTCGAGTTACGTTATATATATAATTTTAATATTGATTAGAGACCAAACCAAGCATCAGAAAATTTGGAAAGTCACGACAAGACCTTTGGACGACGTTGTAATTGGAACGTACAACTCTGGATTTCTTCGGATTTTTCAGAAAAGTTCGATTTCGGCGAGAAACGGAGAAAGTGACCATTTTACCTTTGGGAATTAATAAAGGGTTAGTTTTATGGGCAAAGGGCATTTTGGTCATTTTACCCTCAAATTTGGAAAAGACAATTTTGCCCTTGGACTTTTTAAGAAATTACAAGATTACCCTTGGATATTTTTGGTAAGATTCGATCTGGGCCGTCGATTTTAAGATTAGATCGAATCTGGACCGTTGAATCAAAATGTGAGAGAGTGGTATTTTGGTCATTTGCCAAATTGGGTCAAAAGTTACTATTTAGGTCCAAGACCCTTTCTCTCTCCTCTCTCTCTCCCCCATTCGGTTCTCCCCCTCCACCGTGAGCCCCCCCCCCCCCCCCCCCTTCGATCTCTCTCTCATCGCCCGGACCGCCGTCGCCGCCGTACCGCCCACCGCCGCGCCACCGCTGATCCGCCACCCCCCATCCCGCCGTTCTCTCTCTCTCACCCTCTCGGTCTCCCTTAGCTGTGAGCCAACCGGCCGCCGCCCAAACCCCCGTCGCCCACCGTTCCTCCCGATCGCCGCCGATCGTCATCGCCGCCGCAAGCTGCCATTAGATCTTGGTTTTGCCACCGCTTTCGCTCTAGCCGCGTGAGTCTAGAGTCGAGTAAGTCTCGCCTAAACCCGACTTAGGATATTGGGTATCGACGGATGATTTTGGTTGGAAACCGGGTTTATTTGGGTGCGAAATTGTATGGATTAGGAGTGGAACTAATTGGCGGGCCTAAGAGTCAAAATCGGATGAGTTCGGTGGATTTTTGGAGGTTGGTAGGTGGCTGTGAGTGATCGTTCAATGGGCTGTGATGGGCCGATCGGGGCGTGAAGAGAGAGAAAGAGAGTGTGGGTGGGGCTAGCTCATCAAAAAATAAGGAGAGAGTGAGGTTTTAGCAACAAAAAAAAAAAAAAAGAGAGAGAGCTAAGGTGAGTACAAAATTATATATTGTGACCGAGTATACATAATAAAATCACCAATAGATGTCCCTCGCCTAGTGTGTAGCAACTAATTATTGCTCGTACCTAAATATGGAGAAGAAAATTCATGACTTTACAATTAGGGTTGATGCAATTGATCTGGACATTGATAGATTTCTAGATAAAAAATGTTCGAGCTCATTTGTTCGAATCTTATTAATTATGTGCAAACTACTTTGGCTCACGTCCACCTGCTCAAGATAATTGAATATACTTAACTGTTTATGGGGCTTACATGGTGTTTCATGAGCCTTCAAATAGCCAAGTCTGCACCCTCGTGCCTCGGGATAATAAAAAAAGATAAAAAGAAAAATAAAATTCATGGCCCAAGAATTCAGTGGACATGCATCTGTGTCATTGTTGCCTCAAGAATAAATTCCTAGAACAGTGCATAGGTGTATTCTCCGTAAAATACGTAGGAGTGAGCTAAAGAATAGAAACATGCGCAATCAATTTGGTCCTACTGGGAGGAAAGATAACATTCCAACATGATCTTGTACAGCTCTGTTTCTTTCCAAATCTATTAAACTAATTGATGACTAAATAAAAACAGAAGGGATAGAAATTTAAAACAAAAAGAAAAAGATTTACAGGTGTCAATGATAAGTCCAGGTGTCAGTTTCTCATAAGCCCAAAATAAATCCAACCAATGAGCACCAATTCGATTTAACACCTGCCTGAAGATGTAGTCTTGAGTCGGCCCAAGAATTTAGTCAGACATGTGATGAGAAGTCAGGAGCATCAACATCTGCTTAACCAGATAACATGAAATCGATCTGCATTTGCGCAGAAGAGGGAATGGATGAAAGGGAAAAACGAAAAAGAAAGAAAGGCAATGATTGACTACACCATATCTAGTATGATGTAATGCATAATTTCAGAAGAAAATAAGAACTTTAAACAAGTAGTTTCATATGCAATAGCAACATTCCACCATCTCTATTCGATTTTTATGTTCCAAATCTTAACGGTGTTGAACTTGTCTGTCTTGTGAGAAAGGAGGAGCCACACGTGAGTGATGATTTCTCCGCCCCGCCTCACCAGCTCCATGTGTTGGTATTGCTGGCAATTGTACGCTGCGAAACATAGAATCTCAACCCAAACGCTGCTGATGATCTCCCATGTGTCCTCAGTATCTTTCAGCTCTCTCGCGAGTCTTCCCGCTTCCTCAACAACATTCCACCCTCTGGTGATTACTGGTTCAAGGCTCCCCTCTAAGGGACTTTCTTGCTTGTACCCTGTTTCCAATAGAATTTCCAGGATGCTCTCTCTGTCGCGCTGCTCTTCTGGGACTTGCTTCAAGAACGTCTTGAACTTAGAGTAGGCGTCATTGTGGGTGATCTTGGCTGTGGTCAAGGAGAGTATGTTTGGATGTTGTGCCAGAAGGAACATCATGTAATCTGATATCAGTTTGCTTGCCTTGCTACGGTCTGAATTTTCGTGGCATGATTCGTTGCAGATATGGGTCGCAATGTGCCATATGATGATGCTTCTGTCAAATGCCATCTCGATACTCCATTGGAGCTTTTCCAGAGACTCGAGCGTCCATTGGCCTCTTTCCGTGAAGGGTTGACTGTCTCTCTTCGCTTCAAACTTTTCCATGTCTTTCAGCAATAATTCTTTCAAATACTTGGGAATTGGTTTAGATTGTGTTGCCCAATATCTCATGAACTTCTCGGCCTTGCCACAGAATTTGAGGATTTTGAAGAGCCAGGGCCGTTTTTCGTGTTGGAAGAAATCCAGAAAATTAACTTGGCGAATTGTGTGAGACCACCTTTTCTTCTTCAGAGATCGTTTGACAAGAAATTTCAGAAACTTCGAGACCATATGGTGCTTAATGTTCATTATAATCATCCAATCCGACTCGAATAGCATCAGCAACTGGTAAGTTTCCAGAAGCACGACTCCAATCAGCAGGCCAAACGTGTAAATAACGTACGGACCTCTCCAGTGTTCATCAAAGAAAAGCCCCAGGAATCCGCCTGAGGTCACCAGCAAACTAAAATAACCGATGACGCGGAGCGTGATCCCGGTCTTGGTATAAAGAACTGGTGCTTTAGTGTAGAGGACGTCATACATGAACCCGAGTTCCATATCGGTTGTCAAGAATACTTCTTCAGGACTGTATCCGTTGATCAACTTATTACGATGCTCCATGAAGAAAGGGTGCTTCAGCCAGTCCACAAGGTGAGGCTTTAAGCAATCAAACCGATAGTAAGCCTTCAAGAAAATATTTAGATCGGGAACATCTTTAAGGAAGTTCTTCAATGCAGAGAACATCTCCTTTTCATCATCGGAATCCATCAATGCAGAGAACATCTCCTTTTCTTCATCGAAATCCTCTTTTCTTATGTTCGTGTTCTCGTCGTACACAGAGGAGAGTGCCCAAATTGTTTCTCCGTACTTAATTATCCCAGCAACAAACAGCGGAAAGTACAGTATCATCGGGATGGAGGTCTTCCAATTTCGCCAGAGGATCCACACCACGAAAGAAAACGTGATGATGAGGTTCAATACACGCCTCACGCCGAGCCGGTTGTCTTCCACTGAATATGCGGTAATGCTATCTGGAGTCCCCAACAGCAGTAGAATCAAAGGCGCCAACAATGCTTTTAGTTCGGTATCACACTCTTCCTCGGACTTGTTGAGTCTGACTGTCGTGAGCTTGCTGAGCGCTAGCGTCGCTAAATAAGAGGTGAGCAAATAAGATGCCCAAACAACAAATGTGATTGTCTGGCCACTTGAGGTCTTCCTGCGGCTTCCTAACACAGTAAGCACCATCTGGAAAATCAAGCTGAGTAGTACCAAAAGTTGAATGCTCCAGTTGTCCCAGAAACACGTCATCTCCGACGCCCACCATTCGTGAGGGCATCCCGGAGGCACCATTGAACAGTATATTATCTTGTGCCCTCCGGGCGTGGTTGTTCCGGATATCATTATCACAAGTCTTTGCGAAAAGAAGTTGGTGAGAGATCCTCTTGCCCCGAATTAGACTTTAAGATCCTTCTTCAAGCTGACAAAAGATGATGCCACAGTGAACAATTTCGCTCAGTAGCTGTAAGATACACAGGAATGTGCCAATTGCCATCCGTGAACCGATACTTGGCGTCACTTTCATTGACACCAGGTAATATAACTATGATAGAAAGGGAGCAGGCACGCAAATTACCCAATCTTAACACGGGGAGGAAGTGACAATAAATAACAATATTGGGCTCGTTGAGTTTAGTAATTGGAATGAGTACAATCTAAATCCTTTAACGAGGATCCATTGGAGGGTAAATTTGGTGTCACCAGCTGCGGTAATTCTTGCTCCAATAGCGTATATTTAAGTTGTTGCAATTAAGAAGCTCTCTTGCATGTGTATATGTTCGCTTTGCACCTCACACGGTACACATTTTTACCCATGTTTTTCCTTTAAAGAGGATTCTTATACATTCACACACTGATAGAGTAATGCCGGGTCACTAACAACTGGGCCGCTAATCGATATCATCACCACAAACTGATCTTGGCGAATTTCCATTTCTCATTTCAAATGAGATTCTTTTTTCCTTGAGTTTTCATTTAGGATATAGTTTGAAACCGGTTGTTTTCTTAGTTTTTACCTGGACGATTAGTTTTTTCTTCTCATTAAACCCTCGGATTAAGTTCCCGGTCTTGCTATGAAATAGATCGATGCCGACTCCTCTTTCTTAGTAAAATCCTTCTTTGGCAAAATACCCGAATCGAGGATAAAAAGATTTTAGGAACCGTAGGCGCTGCCTTGGATTCACAAAATTCGAGGTGCTACAATTATAAAAGATTATCTATGATACAAATTTTAATTCTAGAAAAGTTTGATTAAGATAATTGAATGTATTACTATTCTCATTCTGTTGAGGGCGCGGGTCCATCACTAGTATAACTATTCAACTTTTCAATGTGGGATTGTTGTCTACATAAAAAGTAACCAAATTTAATAATGATAATGTAATTTACATTCTCTTCCATTGGGGAATAATTGCAAATTAATTCCTGTAGGTTGGTCGTGAAAATTATTTTAAGTTCTCCTAGAGCACAACATCCCATTAACTCGAGTTGAAAATTACTGGCTAAGTATTATGATTTTCTTTATTTTTAAATTAAGAATGAACATCCACACAAAGTGATTAACTTGGATGGATAGAGAGAGATCTATAAGTGCTTCAAGAGGACCGTGTCACGCAATAATTCTATTCCTTCATAGTTGGGAGATTCAAGAAAAAACCCATAACTTGAACCCAATAACCTAGTTTAACTTACACCTTCATTCGAAAATTTAAACCGCCGCATGAGCCAACTAGATATTATTGAAGCTCTAGACATCCAATGTGGGATTTCACTTTTCTCCCTCTATGTGTGAGCCACTACCATATTGGGCCAGCATGTTAGAGAGTTTGTAATGTCAATGTTCGAAAACGAGTCCCACGTAGGAAAATAGAAGGAAAACATTTTAGATAGGCATGGGTCTCAAGCGGACTTTGCACACTGGATGGGCCTGATTATAAATAATCTTGACCGGCACTTGGGCCATGAAGGGTTTGGCTGAATGTTAATTTCTAGACAAACACGTCTGTTGGAAGTCGGCTGTTTTGTCCGGTCAAGAATAAAAAGGGAATTCTTACAAAAATTCCAAACTTGTGAAGAAAAATAAGCTTTGCTTTCATTATGGAAAGATGAGGGCACTATGTCAAGGAATGTACGTACATTAATGCTACGAAAAATGGTGCATTTTAGTTCTGAAAACAGCAACATAGCCATCCGGGTGAGAATGAATCTCATGAACTTGTTGCGATGGGGTCAGAAATGGAGATAGATATGATCACTGAACTGCACATGGCTGCTCTGATCAAATTTGTGGAAAAGAAGAAACAAAGAAGAAGAAGAGAGAGGGAATCTTAACCGACCAAATGATAAAAAGGGAGAGAGAGAGAGAGAGAGAGAGAGAGAGAGAGAGAGAGAGAGAGAGAGAGAGAGAGAGAGAGAGAGAGAGGGGTTTGAGTGCAAAATTATATTGTTCGAATCCTATTAACTAGGTACCAACTACTCTGACTCACGTCAACCTCCTTAGGATAATTGATTGGACTTAACCATTTATGGGAATTGCTTTTCTTTTGGTTCATGCGTGATCAGACTCCTTGCACAAACTTGGACAAAAGATTATACTGTATTTTGAGAAGGTTACGCAATGGCATATGCATACTAGATCAAGACTAGCAAGTGAAATAAAACTAAAACGCACCAAAGTACGCAAATGAAAACTGGAAAGAAAGAGGGATAGGTGTTGGGGATGGACCTTTTCGCGACGCCTCACTCGAACCTGACGAGCACCATTTCCAAACAACTGCAAGAACTAGGGGAGTTTCCGAACCCGAAAGCAACCGATCAAGAAAGCCTTAGATATATACTTGTCTGCTATGTTGCTACGCCCGGAAACATTCCTTTCTTACTGTAGAGACCCACTCAAGCACTCACTTCGTCGGCTAATAAATAAAATATCCAAAGTTTTCATAAAGTGTCTATGCTTGCTTCGTGCTTGCGACTTTCCTTCACTTTTTGCTGCACATATGTTCATAACTATGATTAATTACACCATGCTTTGCACTTTATCATTAGTTCTTCCTCGTTGCACTCTGCTTTGCACTTTATCGTTCGTTCTTCCTCTCTTTTTAGCAGATTCCCCAAGGCTACCAACTGGCTCTTGACTTTTTCTGCATGTGCCGCCAGAGAAAGGAAAAGGAGACGAAAAGAATGTTGCAATAATCAGTGTTGTCTCGCAATTCACATCGGCGGAGCATCCAAGGGACAGTTCTTCTCATGCAGGATGGATGTACTAGAGAAATTAGGATATGATTAGGTCTTTAATTGTGTAGACAGATTTAAGGTTGTGAAGTGATCTGATTAAGGCATCTGGTTTAAAAGTTACTACTTTTGCTCCTTTGCAAATTTCTTTCTTGGTTTCTCTCCTTTTTGAGTTTTTGGATCTTCTCCTACATTCTTGCTTTCCCGTGTTGAATTCCTTCGTGTTTGAGATATTCTCGTATCTTCCTCTAGCCTTAATTGGCCTCGATCGTTAGTTAGTTGGTAAAAAAAGAATTTGATAATTTATTTTAAATCTTTTGAGTACCATCTGAATTCAAGGCTATTTTTCGTTTTCAAAATTTTCTCATGGGGTCATGGCCATGACTGATTTGGGGTTGCCACCGCGGCCGTGAGTATGTCATTCTAATTTTGATTAGTTATATATTTGTTTAGTTTAAGGTTTAAGCAGGTATACCAGAGCGGAATTGACTTACGGAGAAGTAAGTACGCTGAAAGGTGTCTTTCTAAATTTGAAATTAGGAAAAAGGGGCATCCAAATGATTTACGCGGATTATCGTATTGGGGAATTTTGAATTATAGGAAACAAATAAAGACTAGCGAATAGTGGAGACTTACAGTGAGCGTAGAGGAATTCACAATTACAGAGACACATGCATGTACTTGTGAAGTTTGATGCCTATCGTGTAGGATATACCAGGGGGTTTAAAGCTCCCATTTCGATGGGTGATGAAATCTCATGAAATAAGTGGGGTTGAGCCGGCCTACTACCATTTGCAATTTTGTAGCCAGCCTCGTCCTTCTCAATACCGCCCTAATTTGTCTTATAAAGTGCGATCTAGGGTTTTGGGTCGGAGATTGATGTGGGAGCATCCGATTCTGTGGAACATTCCTAATCGATTCCATCGACAAGCCTGGTACGATCGATGATCATCCAAGCCAAAATTGACTTTGATTATAATTTGCTTCGATGGGTAAAAAAATGAAGTTGTCGACAAGGAGAATATCGACCGAGTTATCCATTAAAGGTATTATCAAGTCTTGACTCAGCCAATTTTGTATCGATTCACCAAGATTAGTTGCTGATTTCAATGTGGATCAACATCATATCAATGGGAGGTTGTTCCAAACAATTTCCTATGACATTCAATGATTTATTGAGATGGATATCCTCTGGTCAAGGCTGGAGCTCGAATTTTGGGAGATAAAATGCAAGGCTCAAGATTTCAAGTCTCCATGTGTCATCAATGCATTTCTAAGTTCTTAGGTCTTAATTGTTTTGTGAGTCCCAAGAGTCAAAGTCCTTAGTTCCTAGGAATTTAATGCTTTATAGTTCCTAAGTCCTTAAATGGTTGGGTAGTTCCTATGTCTTTTAATCTTTGGTTATTTCCTACGTCCTAGTTTCTCTATAAATAGAGGAGAGTCCTCCATTATAATGCAGAGATGATTTTGAATGAGAATACAAGAGATTTTCCTCTGTGTGAGCGATTATCTTTGGAGAGTGGATGTGATATCCCGAAAATTCGACCAAATTTGATAATTTATGAAATTGTGATTTCGTCGATACTCTATTAGTTAATCCTCGCCCTGACCTGATCACTCAGAGAATACTAACCAAACGGAATAGGCTATCGAAGAATTTATTTCTAACATCCGCTCGTTAGTTCGAGATGAACTATAGTTGCGATTGATCGATTTTGGCCATGAATTATTATCCGATTTTGAGTGTCGAATGCTTGATGATTTCACACCCGAACCATAGGACGTCGTCTCGTAATTTTTACGAATTGGCCATCAAAAATTTCAATTTCGGAAAAGAATCGAAGAATCGGAAATTTACCGCGAGAAACGGAAGTGAGTCGAACAAAGCCCATTGGGCCTTGCGCCCGAGGGGGCCGGCCATTAATGCCTGATAAGGTTAAGTCGGTCCGTAATTCGTTGCTCGGACTGATAACAAAATGGTAAATTGGGGGACAAATTTAAGAAAAATTTCAAAAGAGAAAAGGAAATTTGTGGCAGATATTTTATAGAGTAATTATTGGACCCACTTTCTTTTTCTTGCTCTCCTCTCTCTCTCTCTTCCCTTCCCCCTTTCTCGACTGACTCCGCCGACTCCCCCACCAAATCCCATCATTTCCCTCTTTCTTCCTTTTCTTCTTCTTCTTCTTCTTCTTCTTCTTTTCTTTTCCTTCTTCGGTGCTGTTGCTTCTTCGTGCCTTCCGCTTCTGTTTCTTTCCTTCAACTTCTGCTTCCACTGGCTGCTGCTTCTGCTTCTTCGCTGCTGCTGCTTCTGCTTCTGCTTCGCTGCTGCTGTCTCTGCTTCTGCTTGCTGCTGCTGCTTCCTCTTCGCTTCTGCTTCTTGTTCTGCTTCTCATTTTCAGCCCGCCAGACAAGCCCTTTCTCGCCGGAAACAACCACGCCGAGAGCCGCTCCACCTCACCACCGAACCACTGCCGCCCCAGCTCCTCTCTAGCCATGCAGCACCGCCCTTGCTGCCCTGGAATAGCTCGTCGCCGGCTGTTTTCCAGCCGAGTTTCTGTTGGAATTTTGGGTACAAATCCCTTGTAAAGTGAATAAGAGGTGTGGATGGAGGAGTCCCACATTGAATAGAAGAGAGATGGGAGATGAGTTTAAATAGTTGAGCCTCTTATATGGGTTTGGGTCTCAAGGGGTACCCCACTTTTGTGGAAGAGAGAGGACTTACGCCAAGCTGGGTTGGTTTCCCCCTGCGCGCGCCGCCGCCGTCTAGGTTCCGATCGGTTTTATTTTTTCTTTTTATTTCGAACAGATATGTCTGTTCGTAGGTTCGGGTCTATCTGTCCGAGAGTGAGAGTAACTGAGCTGAACGAAATTGTTCGCTTGGTGACTCTTCATTTTCGTCCTTCTATATCCGAAATTCGCTTGGTGACTATTCATTCGCACATGACCGAACGAAACTCTTCGGTTATTAGCAACTGTTCATTCCGACTCTTTATATTAAAAATAACATCCGTCAGAGAGGAATTCTCTGGTTTTTTCGCGAGTCATATTGCTGCACTCTCATTCTTCATTATTGTCATTTTTTTGTTCTATTATTCTGCGAAGTTGCGTTTGAATGAGTCCTCTGAATACGTACCATTTCGGAGGAACGAGATCCGTTCTATTTTGGGAGACGATTGTCCAATATCCTCGGGTACTAATTGAGGGGCCAAATTCGTCTTAAGGACACGACGTTACTTCGTTGGGCTCGGATCAACATTCAGTTTATTTATTTGTACTACTTTCAGGTTAGTTTTCCTGACGTTTGATTTCAATTTTTGGTATACGAACTTAGCCGACAACAGTTTCCAGCTCCGTCGCCCGCCGGTCCGCCCTCCATTCCTCACCTCGCCACCACAACTGCTCACCGCCACTATCTAGCCACCTCCACCAGCTGCCGTTCCGTGCCCGGAACAGCCCCAAGCAACCCCGACCAGCTACCACAGTAGCCGCTCCTTCGCCGCCCCCGGATCACCGCCGTTCGACGCTTGTAACGCAAAACCGGAGCCGTCACGAGCGAGCCCGCGTTGTCGCCGTCGTTCTCATGTTAACGCTGTCGTTAAACGAGTAAGTTAACCCCGAATCCCTCGTTTAGGGTATTAAACTTGCTTAGGGTAGTTTAGTTTAAGTTTAGCTAAGTTTATGGCTAGTTAAGTGGGACTAGGTGATAGGTTATCGTTAGATTATTTGATAATTGTTGGTGATAAGTTATCGGTGGATAATAAGTTATCATTGAATGTGGTGATAGGTTATCAGTGTTTAATTGATGAGTTATCGATAAATTTTTACGATAGGCTATCGATATGTTCGATAAGTTATGATTATTTGTGTGATAGGCTATTATTGTGTTTGCGATAAGTTATCGCTATTTTTACGATAAGTTATCTATTATTTTATCATTACTATTTATTTTATTAAATTAATTAATTTTCGGAATTAAATAATAATATTTTATTCTTAAAAAATATTTATTATTAAAATATTTGATTTTCGAAAATTTAATATTAATATTTTCAAATGATTTTAATATCGAATTGTGATTGTTTTATGCACAAATTGTGATGCCAATGTTGGATTTCACCATATAAGTTGGCGTATATGGCAAATGATTTGAATAATTATGATTCGAGAAAATAATTTGAATCTTTGAAAATAAATTATTTTCGGATTTAAAGGTTAATATATTATTATTAAATAATTAATTTACGAATTTATTTATTATTATTTCAGAAAATTTTTAATCTCAAATTATGATTTCTATGCTTGAATGGTGGCGATTATGCCGTGAATTGTTGTATTAATTTGATTATATGACAAATTATTTTGAATGGAAGGTTCTAAGGAAAACTTATGAGATTTTTGGAATTAAACTATTTTATTGTTATGCCAAGAAATGATAGTGATGCTTTGTGGTTGATAAACATGTTTGGCATCGAAGCTTGCAAGAATTGATTGATTGGTTGCATGTGTGACCACTTGGTTTGTTATGCGGCATTGTGTGAGCACTACTCATGGACGTATGGGCTAATTAAAAAGATAATAATTGGCCGGAATGCTTATGTGCTCGT